GTTTTGTGTACGTGGAGTTGGTGGAATGAGGGAGGGGTGGACTCAATCAGCCAGTGGGTCTTTTTTTTTCCCCATCGTGAACACTCAGGTAATTGTCATCACCAACAGTAAAGTCTAAATGCCACCTGGCTGAGATGTACAACGTGGAAACATTAGAAGCCTCCTTTCCTCAACGGTACGGTATGTTCAGTCCTTGCCCAGAACACACTGATTTTTTTTTGTTTGTTTGTTTTGTTTTACCTTTCTCCTCACAAGGCAGAAGTTTTGATTTTCCACAGAATGCAAACCCAAATATCCCTTCATGCCTGACCCACATTTGCCGCAGGTCAAGTAATTATGAATGAAAATGCCACTTTGTTTATACGAGCTCCATTTATGACAGAGATTAAGTTATGAAATTTGTACTCCTGGCATCTTATTAATACTGCTCTGTTGTAAAATTCCTCAGGCAACAGGCGAAATAATGACTTAAAACTGCAACAAGATAATTACCTTACAATGCAGACATTTTTTAGTATAGAGTTAGCTCTGGATTTGAAAATACAGTTTTTTAGGACCTTATCCTTCATATAAAGGGGTGTGAAACACTTACAATTACCTTAATTTATTTCCATGACATTTTGGTTTAGATCCAATCAATTCCTAGTACATTAAGGAAAATCTTGTCATTATTCAATAACGGGATTTAGCTATTCAAAGCAATTTTCGTAACCTTTAATTTTGAAAAGGTAAGTCTTCAAATCTTGGCAAAATTAACTTCATGCCGTGGTGAAACACTGTGATCTATACAATATCTTTATTGCATCTGGTGTGCCAAGGTGCTTTGATGAATGAAAGAAACTAGCAAATTCAGCATTTCCCTTCAACTTCCAGCTGAAAACCCAGCGCACACACGCAGAAGAGCAACAGTCCTCGCTGATGTGAGGCCATGGAGGAAGGTTCTTCTGACGCACTTCTAAAGCAGATGGCTTGAAATACAACTAAATCTTAAGTGGGCACTCTTTGAAGTTAATTGGTTTGATTTACCTTCCTCCACTTTCAAATGGAAGTAAACAAAGCTTCCTTCTGCTCGGTGTTAATCCACACTGACGTCAGAGTGCAAGATCATGGATTTTCCCAAGCATGCCCCTGTAGGTAACATTTGATGTGGAAATAGCACAACAGATTAATTCAACAAATTAATTCCCTTTATACGCGGAGCAGGTGAAGCTCCTGCAATGGGAGATCATCTTCATATCACATCTCATCCTTGTCAGTCCTGCAAGGCCAATACGTGCCAGAGGGGACACCCTGCCCTATCTGCACATCAATACGGTTTCTCGCTTGCCCAGTTATTGATGATTACAAAAGGGGACAGCAGCAGCTCAGGCCCATTAACGTGGGAACACACAAGCCCATGGAAATATTTTACTGAAAACCTGCTTTCTGGTGTCCGGCTACACAAAGCAAAACAACTTGACCTAATGAGGAAGCTGGGAGAAATTTTTCCGTGAATTTCTTGTGAATTCCCAATTCTAAAGTTGCAGCATCCTGGCCACGTAAGGTGCTCATGCTTGTCATTTCCCCACTGAGCCCCAAAATGAATGCGACTTACCCAGACACGGACAGAGGTCACGTTCCTGTTTTCAGAAAAACATCACCTTTCTTTTTTTTTCCTCCCTGTAAGCAAAGCAAGACTACTACCAGCATCCAGTCAGGACGGTCTTTCACAGATGAAAAACATTAATCAAACCGGCACCTAAGGAAACCCATACAGGTATTTCTTCTTGGACACTGAAACGTGGGAGATGGCAACCCAGCAAGCGGGAACACAGAAACAAAAATCAATTGCCTCCCAAAAGTGTTTTCTGCCCTCTTTGCAAAGACCCGCAAACTTGGAAATTAAAGGCTAATCAAGGAAAAAAACCCTCTCCCCTAAAACTGGTTTTGATAACAATTGCCGAGAGAACTAAGCATTGTATTTGGAGAGCATGACTATAGGAGGTTCCCATAATAAGTCTGAAAATGTTGATGTTTACCTCCAGTTCTGCCTTTGGTTTCCTGACTCGTTTTGTTTTTAGCAGGTACTATTAGCAATTTTGAGAATAAACGTAACTGTTCCCCAACGATCAAAATAATTTTCTATCTACCTCCATAAAGTGAGTATAAAAAAAAAAAGTGAAAATGCTGTCTTTAAGCAAGAAGATTGCAGCTTTCCCCTTTTGCCTCTTGACACACTCCTCCACCCCGAAAAGGAGATGTCGGGTGCCCAACAGCCATTACAGAGCACACCCAGCCAGGACTTACAGAGGTTTAATCTCTCACACACACCAGAGGTTGTTCCTAATGTAAATTACGGTTTATGCAAAAGCTAGCAAACACCGCACTTTCAGGCAAAAAAGTAGTACTGCCTGAAACCTTTGGCTAAGATCAGACACGTTAAAAAAGCGACGGCATAAGGATACACTAAAAAAACCAGTTTGCAATTTGTCCTAACTTCCTTCCTGCAAAAATAGCCTTCGGAATTGAAGTTCAACATATTCAAGGTCATGGGGACAGCAATGAAATGCTAACACGCGTATGTATGTCTTGCATCCAAACTGGTAGCATCTTATGCGGCACTACATTCTGTTCCTTGGTAACTTTAAACATGGACTTGAAAACCAAAACTGCTCCACTGGGTTTTTTTTCCCTTCCTATTTAGCAAACGCAGTTGTTACCTGTGCAGAACCTCACTTTGGCAGTATGTACTGCAAAAGGAGGCAGCTACAGCAGCTATAAGAATGGTGAGCAGTTGCAGAAGGCATCTCTTTAAAGAACAACAAAAAAAAAAAAGCTGTCACTGAACTGGCCCTTCCAAGTGAATATAACCGAGAACTGGGCAGATGAAGTGCATGTGGAAAGTTCTGTCCGGGATGGGTAGGTAGTTACGTGAATTCTCCAAGAGGAGATGTATGCAAACCAACATTTTCCACTCGGGCAGAAAGAGGAGTTGGGCCTTTTTGGTCATCTTTACCCAACCAGGCATGCTTTTTTACGCCCAGTGAAGAAGTCCCCTTGCATTCCATTGCTCTGAAAACTTGAACATCAAAGTGGTCCTCTTAGACACTCAAAAAGGGAAAAATGTGGGCAACAACTCTCCTGGGTTTTAGTATCACCTCTTCAATTCACCATTAAAAAAGAAGCCAAACCAAAACACAAACCCCTGTCTTTTTCTTGTTGTTAGGCAAGTAAGCTGTACAAAGGATTTTCAGTGCAATCCATTTGATCTAGAGAAGAGCTGACTGGCGAAGGCTGAGGTGCATGAACTGCAGATACCAGACAGACAGACAGACAGCACAGGCAGATTGTTGAGCGCGCGCGCGCAGTCTCTCTCCCATGCACAGGTTCCACCACCCCCTGCTTGGTAGATTTACAGCTGATTAACTACATCTTAACGATCCGTGCTCCCTGTAGTTTGTGACAGCTTCTTTAAGCTTCTGCAATGTATGGATCAACGAACCAGCACGCGTAGCACGGCGCAGGCCTCTCCGCAAGCATCGTCACGGCGTGCCATGGCGTTACCGAGAGGACCTGAAGCACACCAGCGCTTCCTCTAACCGCGGGCCAAGTGCCACTTACCAGAACCGCGTAACGTAACCCGGCCAACAGCTCAGTTTAGCAGAAACTGATGGTATTTCTGCAATGGAGCCATCGGTGACAGATACCTCCTGTGCAGCTTCCAGGTCACACTCGCTTAAGCAATGATAAATGAGCACGAAATACCATGAGCACAAAATAAGATCATAAATACTCAATTCTTTGTTAAAAAAACCCCAAACCAAACAAAAAACGACCTCAGACAGCTGTAGCATCTTGCAGTTTCCACGATTTCATGGATGTTCTCACTCTTGTCAAAGATGTACCACAAAACAGTAAGGAGACTTTTGCCAATTTTAAAAAAAGGAAAAAAAAAGCCAGTCACCCATCCGAACGCTGCATCACCCTACACTGGCTAATACACAAATAGATGGGTGAACCTCACAGAGTTCACAACAGCTTTTGGTATCCCGAGGTCCAACATCCTGAGGACGGCCGTCTGTCCCAGAGGGCTGCTCAGGCCGAGAGGCTGCAGACCTCTTGGAACATCAACATCAGAAGTTGTAAAATGCAGTGGCCTGGGGCTCCTCTGCCCGAGTACCGGCACACAGGTGGGAAGCAAATGGTTTGCAATGGAGAAAAAAAATATGGGGAAAATCCACGGGGAAGCCGCCCTTGACAATCGTGCTTTATCCTTAAGGAGTGACCTCCTCAGGCTGGGGGTGCCGGTAGGAGTTGCTGAGCGTATTCCCGAGGGCGTTTGCTGATCACCAGTAGGTCAGCGGCAGCCTGGGACAGTAACATCGTCCTCACTGCCCCTGCTGTGCTACGGACTGAATCCTTCAGCATCGACACGGCAAACTCTAATGAGCTCGGCTACATCTAAACCCTTGGAGCAATCAGAAACTGTATTTTATCCTCATTTTCAATAATAGTAATAATATTATTATTTAAAAGTTCCTTACTGGCTTAAACCAAGATTTTTGAAAAACTGTTCTAAATCTTTTCATCTAGGAGGACGTCAGTCCCACTTTTATGAACCATGCAAACATTTACGCGACATGTTCATTATCTTTTTAGGGTTTTATTCAGTTCTATTTCCTTCATGAAGTTCAAAGAATAATCAACACTTCCTCGCTTACCAAAAGCGGATTGGGAATGAACAAGGAAATGCCTCCGTATGGCCGTACAGACGGGCGAAGTCTCAGGCTCACACCCTTCCGATTTACAGTGGTTCCTTGTACATCGCTTCGCAGAGAGGAGCAACCGCGACAATACTGGACAGCAAGATTAAATTACTTAGCTGTATTTTACGTATCGAAATACTTGAATCATTACATTTACTGCTAGAACTACATTATTGTGCCGTGTACATTCAAATGCGCTGGAATTTCTCTGGCCTGGAAAGCACATGACGAGACCAAGCACACGATACTGCTTCAGTCAGGATTTTTTAATCGTATTCCTACAAAATCATGTAAACATCAGCATACAGGTCCAGAAAAATCAATATAATATAATGGTGCATAAACTGTAAGTTTAGAAGAATGTCAGGAACACTTCAACAGTTTATAAATTAATATATACAGTAATGGGTACTCATCATTAGGTAAGAAAACCTCAAAACTGAGGAGTTTAGGTGCAAGAGCTGTAAAACAACAGGAGTGCTCCGACACCAAGCTTGACTATGAGGCAACATTGCAATCTACATGACTGCCTGTTGTTGTTCCATATTAAGCATTCAATTTAGCTGCTAAAAAGTATAAAACAAAAGTTTTGGTAGGAAGTTTATTTTTATTTGAAATCATATAGCAAACATACCTAAAGTAATTAAAAACAACCCCCAAACCGGAATACTCCGTAAACAGGTTTCTAGAAGGGCGAAACTGAAGCTTGCCAGGCTGCACAGAGACCGTCGGCATCTCCGTTCCGCGCTACTTCCAGCAGAGCGCCAAAAGGCGCCTCCAGCTAAGGAAAGCATTCCGGGTGGTTTATAGATGGGGAGTGGTGGGTGGAGGGACAAAGAAAGAAAGAGGCAGAGCACGTGTTGGGCTGATGCAAAATTCCCGCTTCCACGTGCAGCATTGCGGGCAGCTTAGCTCTTCATTGAATTAGAAAGTCATGGGAATGTAACACCGTGGTTAATTTGTTAATTCTGGGCTATTTTGCTAAAAAACCTCAACCAACCAACCCAAAACAACCAAGAAAAATATAATCTTCAGCCTGTCTGCGATCAAGTCATACTCAAAGTGTTCTCACGACGCTGCCCTTTAGGAGATCAGGGACACGCAGCAGAACACAGGATATATCCCTCTTAATCAGATAACACATTAAACAGAAAATGAGTAAGTGGTTCCCTTTTCTCCTGACCATACAACCGTATTTCATAAGGGGAAAAAAAAAATATATGGTAAACATATGCTAAAGAGTGATCTCACATAAAAGGCATTCTTCCCCATATTAGAAAATTCTCAGATATCCGTGAAAATACAGGCTGCACAAAATAACTAGGATTATCCTGGGAACACCTGACACCGCAAAAACTCTCTTAACTGGATACCCTATAATATGATCTTCAGAGGATCTGTCCAAAGTTCAGTATATTTTTCCATTTCTAGAATTAAAGTAGAATTTTATGCCATCTTATTTTGGTACATTTTTCATACTGGACAAATCACTTCCCCTCACAATGAAAATTAATATTGCACTAATAAAGGTGTGTTTATTTCCAAGAAAGGGCAGGTCATGACTAGCCACCTAAAGCTTTTTGCTCTATTTTCTTCCAGTTGTTTAGGAACAAATTCTGTTCACCTCTTCTATAGGAAATCCTGAGCAGTAGGGTGAAGAAGGTTTGGCAGATAGCACCAATTTTCCATCACTTGTCTTAATTAACAGGGTACATTTATCATTGGCATTGCATCTAGAAGCGCTATCATGGTTGCACCTGAATGCCCAAGTAAGAGCTTATTATATAAACCACTGTTATTCCTATTGCCAGAATCCGAGCCAACACTGAAGACACCAGGAGCAAGAGAAAAAGATCGCTGCTAACTCTGAGGACACAAGTTGCAAACACAAAGAAGGGCCTGAAATCCTAGCCCAAATATTTTCGTCGTAATGTATGGGGGCAGAAAAAACTACAGCTGGTGGGAAGAACAGGGCGAATCCCTTACACTGCTGTGCCTGCTGCCTTCCAAGCAACATGCTTCCGAGCTGCCCGCTTCGCATTAATGCAGAGGTGCGGCGCTGAAGGTGTTTGTAAACACCCCAAACTCTTTGCTATTGCTTCCACCAGAGCAGCTCAAGCAGCGAGTGCCTTTTCGTAAGCCAGACTGCCAACAGCTTCCAGCATTTAATTACCACGCCGTGTTTCAGGCTTGGAGAGGTTTTATCTGACATTAGCTGAAAGGATTTGTCGATACTAGAGCCTTCGCTCACTACATTTCCTGCTGCGGGTTTTACTTGTAGTGCTCAACTGGTAATAGCACCACGACGGACCAGAAAAATCTAGCACAGAAGAGGCGAAACTTAGCAATTTGGGCTTAAACTTAAACTGGGTTTGACCTAACAAACGTTTCACTGGAGTGACCCTGTACATAGACCTGGAAAAGTTTTATCACAGATGTATCTGCAGTTTTGCATAAACTATTAATGTACTACAGCAACACTAATTTGGTATTCACAGAGATAGTAATAGCACAGTTTTTACACATCTTTTGCCCTCTCTCCATTGTTATCGTTCCCATGCCTAAAAAGACGCAGGCGCAAACTCCTAACAAGACCTCCTGTTCTTATCTGTAGCCTGCAGACTTTCCTCCCACTGGTAACGTTAGTGATTTCCATTTCCTCACTCATGTCATCCCATGGGGATCTTATACTCACGTGTATGCACACTGCGATAAAGGAGAACTGATATGACAATATAAACACAACTAGCAGACCTTAATTCAAATGGCATCGCCAGCAACAGCGACCCTTGAGAAACTTCAGATATACTAACGCGTCCAAGACCTTGTTCAACGTTGTAACAGATAGCACCAGAAAAATGGTATTGAAGAGTTTCGTGTGAAAATGTTTCCCCCTGCTTTTAACTTTGGTCACGTTTCTCATTTTCCCACCCTCCCATACTTCGCTTTTTTCTCTACTTCTTCATGCTAACTTTTCTGCAGATTCACTGAAGACAATGCAGTCGTGAAATGCATTATAGCTCCTCCAGAATCTTCCATTTTTTAACCATTTATTAAGAAAATAGATTAAATCCAGGACATTTTAAGTTAAATGAATGAAAAAAATTGCTAATAACGAAGGTTCCGTGGCAGTCTTAAGGAGGTAATTGGATTATGGCCAATTTTCAGTAAGAACGATCATTATAACGCTCTCTCTGCCTGCACTCCAGCACTAAGCTTACATGAGCAATCCAGATCAGATTTCTGAAAAATAAAGGCAAAGGTATAGAGAGAAATCTTCTGAAGTCTTCCAGCAGTTTTTCTGACTGAAATACAAATGTGTACTAAAATATCCTGCTTAACAAGGTATACTGCAAACCAGATTTACCAAAGAAATCGTTTCTGTACAGACATGAACAAGGTTTTCCTGTATGAAACCATGAAACAAAAAAATCTCATCTCTCAAGGGTGGGGTTTTTTTTTTGTTTGGGTGTTATACATAACTACCAATGCAGTCAATACATATTAAGTTAAGCCAATTCATACATTATACCCAGCAATTAATTCACACAATATACCAGTGGGAGGAGATGAACAATATTCTGATCAAATAGATTTATTTCAATCCTCAAAGCACAACCCTTTTTCTTCTTCATCATCATCAGTAGAATCTGCATAGGACTCAATGGTGTTGTATATGAAAGAGTACAGCTTGACATCTGGTCCTGAAGTAGAACAGCTTCTGCATTCTTCATTGTAATATCTCAGTAACAGCCTATAAATGTCCCCTTAAAAATAAAAAGAAATAATTAAAAACCACATCAGATCATGCCATATGAAGAATATATGACTGCAAATGAAGACTAGAAGCGCACACTCACACTGAGACAGCAGCTAGGAACATCTCTTTAAATGAGCAGTGAAAGAGGGGGTAGACAACTGTGTAAGGGGAACGTGACTGTTGCAAAGTTTGTTCAGAACATAGGGTGGGCTCCCTCAACTTTCCGCTGAGCTTTCCGCACGAGCTAGTTGAACATTAGGCTGGCACACGTATTACTTACAAACATATTGCCAATCACCTAGCTTTGTGCTTCTGTCCCAGAAATTAAACGCGTGTAACGAATACAGTGGGGCAATGGATACACTGCTTTTCTTGTAGTGCTACTGGATCTGACCACATCTCGCAGGATCAAGCCAGAACCACTGTAAGACAAATCTCCATCAAGAATGCGTAAGCAGATTTTCCCTTTCTAAAGCACTTTGAGTTATATTAAAAATTTCTGCAAATCTTCTGTCTACCACGTGTACCTCTATTTTCCAAATTCTGGACTGTAACTCCCAAGTGAATCAGAAAAGGATTCAAGAAGTCTCCTTACAGATTAACACTGTGCAGTTGACCCTGAATCAGAAGAGTTCCCCACTCTGGAAATAGGTACAAGTAAACAGAGACCTATTTTCTTGTGTTTGGGACTTGACAATAATTCTTATCAGACAACTTCCACTTACAGAGACAGTGATGTCTCTCTGCTGCATGAAAAAGATTCCCTTATGCTCACCAATAGTTTGGCCCTTCTCACAGAGAAAAGTGTGCATGCTGTAAATATCCCGCATCAGCTCCGCATCTCCAAAGGTAAAATAAACAACATCACGTCCAGCCTCAGCAGCTGCCAATATCTGTATTAAGGCTGAAACAACAGAAGATTACACACATGAATACAGGGTAAAACAATTCGCTGAAGGGAAAAACACAGCCTAAGTTTACAGCAAATAATCACACCACCCATCTCCAGGTGAACGCTGCAAGGCAATTTGAACAATGGAGAGATAGGATTATTTCCACTTTTAAAACAAAGTGAAGAATACTGGGCACTGCAGCTCAGAGCACTGAGGATTCTGCTGGAGTCACTAGCAACAACCACCCTTACTTTCCTAGATAAACATTGTGCTTAAAAATCAAAGGGTTGGTTTTCTTTTCGGGGTCTGTGTCTGCCCCCAAGGAGCATACAGCCATTAATTATCCAATAAACGTGAGTGACAGCGTAAGAAGACAGAGCACCACCTTACATCCTGGTTTAAGCTGCTTGCATCGAGTCACCAGCAGTGGGGTAAAACACATCCATTAGCACATCACCATTTCCATTCTCTGCCACCCTTCAGAAGGGATGGAGCCAACCCTTCCACTAGGTAAGCCACACAAGGCAGGAGCTGACCCACCTTTTAGCTCCCCAGAGGAGACCTATGGTTCTGCAGCCTCTTACCGTGCAATTTAAGGTGTCTATCTTACCTATAATAAAGTATGCAGCATAGAATATGATGGCTCATTCTGACCTATAAAGAGTGAGTGGCAATGCCAGGAATGCAATTCAGGTTATTTAACTTCCAGCTTATTTAACTTCCAGCTTTATGTCAACCTTGCTGGACCAAGCCGCATCCCCAGTTCTGTTAATGGCTAACATTACAAAATAGACAGACTTTGTTCTTCTATACAGAAAAGAACAAAGAATGCCTCCTATCTTGGAAACAGATTTTTGAAGATTCATCTTGAGAAATCATCTGGGATATTGATCCCAGCTGAGCCAAGCTAATGACCCACTGCAATTGGAGAAAGTCCCTCTGGTCCAGCTGCATTTTCTCCTTTCTCACCCACCTCCTGACTTTTCTGCAGCTCTCAGGTGCTCCTCAGAGTCTCCCTGAGCCAATTCCATTCACCACCCTGGCAGAAAAGTTATGTAACAAAAGAACAAAAGCTAATTGTGTTCTGCTAGGTTAGCAACCGAGCTGGCTGAGTGAAGGGTTTGCTAACAGCCGCAGCTGATCCAAGGGAGGGTACCAGACCACACAGCCAAGAACAGGGAGGGGACAAGAAAAACCAGGACCCTTTTAGGTAGCACCAAATTATTCCAAGAGCGCAGCTTTTTTACCAACTGGTGCTGCGAGGCTGGAGCGTCACCGATGCATGCAATCAATCACACGTTCATTTCAGGTAATGTGACAACAGTCCAAATAATGGACCCCAGCAACTATTTAATCTCTTACGGCTTGTCTGATTTCAGAGCCCATGGGTGCAGCTCTGATATTAATTCTTTCCTTTTCTACCCAGTTAGTAGAGTTAATTAAAATGTGATTAATATTGTCTTTGTAAAGATTAATTTTAAATAAAATAGAGTACATGCTGCATTACCACCTGCTAGCGGAAACTAAACAGAAAGCTGTTCATAGCTCAGCTCAAGATCTTTCACATTTTTAAACAGAGACCTAATAAAATACTGCATTCTTTAATCAAAAACCCTCTTGTAAACCTGTAGCTAAAATTATAAATTACATGATTCACATGTGAAATTAATCTCAATCTGGGAATGATATTTTAATTAAACTACTGAACCAGCTGTGGATTTGGTAAAGCTTTTAAAAGGTCTAATTAACTAGCTTGCATAGGGGAACAGAACCTAATGAATCTTATTATTCATTCCAAATAAGCAATGCGGTTTCACTTTACAGAAGATATTAAACATTTTCTACTGTTTATTTTGAATTGCTATAAATCTTATGAAACGAGGGTCAAAATTTCTGTCAAGGATCAGGCTTCACAATCTTCGGGGCATTAATGATACACACCACCACCTGAAATTTCTATGCTACTGATACAGAAAGGAGCACCAGAAGAAGAGCAATAGAGCCTGTGGTACAGAGGACTGGAGGGATTTGGGCTCTCTTGCACCCAGCTGATGTGTTCCCATTTAACTCTTCCCAGACCTGCAGGAATGGCTGTGCTGACATGCCACCTTCTACCAGTGCACAAGGGCAGTGGAAGCATGATACAAATCCCTCTGGGGACCCAACTATCCTTGCAGGCCCTAGGCGCTCAGTCCCATTTATCCAGAGGAAAGGATGTTCTCACCAGGGACTCCCCGCTGCGGCAGCGCAGCCAAAGCCCAGAGTGGCACCAGAGACACAGCAGGGGCAAGCAGAGCGGAGCTCCGCTACTGCAGGCGCAGCAACACTGTGCTGGTCAAACACCCAGCACTCCTCCTGCTGTTGCCTACCACCTAAGTTCAGAACTGCAGTACTATCACGGTAGCGCCTCAACATCGCATGTGTTTACATGAGGCAAGATGCATGATTTTCTCTCCTTCCACCAATCCTACAAGGGTCTTTTATAAAGCTGATGGCAGTCTTCCTATTGAGCTTTATTTTCTCAGGTAAATAAGAACGCCAATTCATCTAGAGAGTACTTTCTCACAACTGATAGAAGTTAAAGTTATGTATTTATGAGAGGCCTCATCAGATCATCTCAGCTATTTTCAATAAAACAACACTTTTATAATCTTTAGACAGTTGCATGGAGTCCCTGCAGCTGGTAATGTTAAATTATCCTCTGGTTTGAAAAGCAAGACAAGATCTTCAACTTCTCCCAATGAAAGAAACATACTTTTTTTCCATATTTAAAGTCTATCTTAATTTCATACAAAAATTTTGTAGAAGTATCCCTGACTTCACTGGAATCTGTCTTGTTTACGTACCAGGTCTTTAATTTATAAAGCCAGATTTTTTTTTTTTTTTACTCCCTTAAGAATACTTTAGGTTTTGCATCATCTGTGACCTTGAGTGAAACCATATTTCATACACAGTCATGTTCCCTTAATTCATGACTAAAAAAAATAATGAAAAAATATAATGCATTGTGGCTCTTATCCAGTTATATCCAATTACACCAAATACTTGGGTAGTTCCAAGGTCTCTGTTACAGATCCAGATACTACTTCTGAAAGAACAAGGCTGTATAATTAAGAATGTTAAATGAAAAAGCAAGATTTTAACCTTTGAAAATTATTTTATCATTGCAATACACTGTCAAGCCTGTATAGTCAACAAAAGCTCTTTATTTGGGTTCAGTGAAACCGTGATACTGATAGTAGCGGCATTTTTAAAAACATGTTCTGAAATGAAGAATGGATGACTCCCCAAGAAGTCTAAAAGTTTATTCTCCAGTGTAAGAAATTTGCTTATAACGAAGTGAAACCATGGAGAGAATTTGCAGTGCAGAACAACCCTATACAGTGTTTTAGAACAAAAGGGAGAAACACCGTTAGCACTTACGACTGTGCAGGGAGTATCTGTGAACTAGAAAAGACTTCATTTGGTTACCACACATCAAATGCAACTCTATTCTGACAAAACCACACATGACAAACTACTGGACTCTTTTCATAGCTCGTGGTTTACAAAAAAAAGAATGAAGCCATCTTGTTTCTAGTCAGCATGAGCTCAGAGAATAGGTCACATATTAAACTACTAGCTCCATATCCCATAGCACACCACTGTCATTTAATTCTCTTTATTAAGTATTGATTTTTGAGAGTCAGCTAAAGAAATTAATTAAGAGTAGCTTAAGTGCAAGTTAAACCAATGTCTGTCTTTCTAAGGTCTGCCAAAAGAACAGAAGACTTGAGAGTACACACATAGGTTTAGATGGATTTTTCGTAACAGCAGCAGTGCTGTAACTTGCCATTAAGTGTTAATTCTCACAGATTTCAGAAAAAAAAATAAGGTTGATCCAAAACCAGATGAAAAGTTACATAAATGAAAGCTCAAACTAAAATACTAAGTTAAAATAAAACTGAGAGAATGTTCAAGTTTTTACATGTTCTCGTTCTGGCCGGAGTTCATATGCAAGTTACGAAGCACCACACCTCATGGCTCATTTCTTTGTCTACATCAAAGACTTTTCTTACAGGCTACCTCACCAAATAGACTCAGCTCTGGTGGTCTTTCTCAGTATGCTTCAGTTTTCAGCTTTGACCGATGGGAAGAGGAAGTAAAGCATTGTAGTGAGCAATCCCTATTGTAAAAGTCACGTCCAGTGTCCAACAAATATTGGCTTAGATCAGATGAGCCATATTTTTATTAGAAACCCATACCTTGAAAAAAACATACATGGGATATTACAGTTCAGATCCAAGAGGAGGCCTTATGCAAATCAAAGCATTTATTAAACCTTCCTAACATAATCATAATCAAGGATGATCAGATCCTGCAGTAAACACTACTTCTGGTATTGATGACCTGCCCTTGGCAGCCCATTTTATCTACTGGCAATCAAAAAACAACTGTCAGGAAATCAATGAGCATTGAGAAAAAAAAAAAAAAAAAAAAAAAAAGATGCTCAGTGAATAAAACACATTAAGAAAAAACCCCTAATGAATCTGGTAGCCTGATGATTGTTTGTCTTAATGTAACTACCTAAAGCTGTTCAGAAAAGCAAATGTTAAATACTTTCCAAATGTTTGAAAACAAAAATGTAAATTTCTACTTAGAACTATATGAATCAGGATACCCATTTAAATGTCAGGATCCATCAGTTCTTGACGTGATGAGGAAGAGTCTTAAATGAATGTAGGCATGTAGTATCTGCCGCATTATAAATACTCTAATTCAAAATAAAAGAACATGAGAAAGTGAGTGATATAGCAGGTGAGTCAGGAAAGAAAGCAGCATGTCTGAGTGACTGGAAACCCCTCTGGCATACAGCAACATATTAAGGAGCAAAACTAAACGTTAAGCATTGCCAGCAAGTTTGTAAAGCCTTGCAAATTACCAGCTATTTTAAACAGCTTTGCAGAGATATAAATTTTAGGCACAATCTAAAAAGACTGCTCCAGAAAGGTCAACTGATTTGTATGGCTGAGAACTGCAGTGAACGTGTTCTTTTGTCAACTAATATTGAGCGTCTGTACTTCTGAAGGTTTCAGTCCTACATGTCCTTGTAAATTCAGCATTCCACCATCACGTACTTACCTCGAACTTTAAACTGAAAACAGCATAAAAAAGCAGCGTGCATTTTTATTGTTTTAGGCCACGTTACTCCTGGCCTGAAGATCAAAGCTAAAGAACCAGTTCTATGGACAGTTTAACTACTATTCCAATTCTTGGCTAAAATGTATTAATTCAAACAAAACCAAAAAATGTACCTGAACAACAACAAAACAACAAAGGTGGCCAACAATCAAAATCATGTTATTTGATTCATTTGGAAATTAATGAATTGCTGTAATTTACCTTTTAATCGGGAGTCCCCTCCAAAGGCACCGCATCCCCAGTTTCCTGTGGCTATTGCAGAGAGATGTTGAGGTGGAACACTGGGTCGAGAAAAGCCACAGTAGGCCTGCAGGCAGACAAGAGTCAGAAGATGAAATCAACAGGCAATCTGGTGTGGTGTTTTCAAACAGTAAGATGCTAACAGTAATCAGTATTGTCTTCTAGCAATACCAGGTTCAAACTACCTCAATACACCTCTAGTCTTCCTTTAAATTTAAGGTCAATGACTAAAGAATTTAAGGCAAGAATAATTTTGCCTCATTTAGATCCAAGTTAATTATATACAAGTGCTGACTCCTAGGGCTTTCATCACAGCACTAGGAAACTTTTCAGGATAGCCAGAGCAGAGAATAACTTTAACAAGAGATTGTATCATGTTTGTTGCTTTGCAGCCCATTTAGCATACATGACAGCTGAACTGCTGTGTCCAGTATTACTGAAATCCCTCAAAACTGAAAATAAAATACAAAATGGCATCTTAGCGTAAAGGTCTAATGCAATAAATGAGAGTAGGAGTGATATACACCAAGAAATCTTGAGTAAAAGCAGGTGCTTCCATGTACAGAAAGGAAATCTCTTTGGGAAGTTTTTCAACAGTACAAAAATGTATTGAATTGGTACAACTGTCTGGTACAGATTGAAGTACCCATGGTTTCGCTCCAATCTGATCTAAGCTGCAAATTCAGACTCCCGTTTGTTGTAATTTAGCAGGGTACCACGATACAGCATTTGCATAAGGAGCACTTAGACATCATCAGGTGCATGCAAGCTACTTGAGCTCTCAAGTCAGAGCTATTAGAGTGCTTCATGTCCAAAGCAGGTTTGTACAAAACTAGCAGGCCAAGCTAGCTAGTACTCTTGGCTGTGTGGAAAATAACTTCAAATTCCATCCTCCCAGTGAGGGAAATGGATTGGTGTTGCAACAGCATGCCATTTTCTTTTCAGCTTTTACTTAATGGGCATGTATTTCTCAACTTGCCAGGACACAGAGAACGAAAACCATCTCAGATGCAATAAGGAAGTCAGCAAATATGTGGAAGGACTTCAGCAGCCATGAAGAAAAATATCTAAGTAAGTGCTCCCTTATGATTTTTCATAGCAAAAAAAGGATAAAGGAAAAACTAATTACTTTTTTAAAAAAAGAGACAGTGCACCAGTATTTTAAATAGGTTTCACCTAGGAATCCAGGGACATGAAAGCTTTCTGCGCAATTTTAAAGCGGTTGCTTCCATATGGCAAGCAGAAGAGCTGTTCCTTTTTAACTACATAAATGAATCTGCTTTTAAGTTGTACACAACTTCAAATATACGCTATCTCCTACTATTTAGACATTGGGTGATGTTTACAATTGGTTTGCTTCCATATAAAACTGTTACATACAGTTCTCATAGTTAACACTGAAGCATAATTGTCCTGCATACCATAATTCTTAGGGAAGCATTTCTTGCCAAAGATGAAGCTGTAGCTTTTCTTAATCAGTGACTATCAAAATAGGCTTAATGACATTTATAATTGGGCTTGCAATGCCACTCATAAGTCAGTTGTTCCTTAGGATTTGGAAAGTGGAACTTGCAACTGGAAAAATTATTGCTAGTGAGTCTTTATTAGGCAATAATCTCAAGGGGCAGGTAAGGATGAAGTAGTGACATCTCTTACACATATACTTGCAAATCTTAATGCTAAAATCAGAGATGATTTTTTTTTTTTCCCCTTAGTCTGAACAGCTGACTTTAGACAATATTAATCTTGTTTTCTGAGTATGGGTTAAACCAGAAACAAGGGTCAGCCTCAGATAGCTACCTATTGAGAAAACTGAGAGTGAACATCTAGTTCTTTAAGACAAATCATATAGGCTTCTAAGAAAGTACAAGTTGTGAGAAGAATCACTTCAAATTGTTTCAATCATTTCCTAATGTCTAACAAAATAACAGACAAACAAAACCACCTCTGGAAACATGTGGATGCTGAGCTGTGCCTACTAATACATAATACACGTGTATTTCAGAGCCTGTGTGCATACACTGTGCTTACTGAGTCCTGATTTATTAAATCATAATAGAGTTGCAGCTTATTCTATCAACTTGTTTTCACCCACAGAGAAATCTTAAGGTTAATATTAATTTTAAATCAGACTGAAAAAACTGACCACAGTACATTAAAAAATATTTATTAAAATATTATAGAACCTCCAATAAATCTAATGAAATTTTTACTGTAGTAAACAGAGAATTAATTCAGACTTAAAATTTTCTTTAAATACCAATCAGTCCTCATCAAACAATGTCAGCCAAACCGACACACTATATAAAAGTTGCATGGATCCACCACAATTTATTTTAAAAATCCAAACCCAATCAATACTATTGAAAATTGTAGGCAGATCATAAATTCACTAGAGCAGGTAATTTGAATTTTGTACTAAGGTATCACTGAAGTTTACAAAAATTTATTTACTGTCTTTTTCAGGGCTAATTTCATTACCAACCATGAAGAAACAAGCTGATGAATGTTACTTTAGTCAAGATGCTAAGGTTTTACGACTAAATTAGATTAGTCCTTCAGCACTGCACATCATTTCTGGGAGGGAAAAAAAAAATACTAGCTTTCAAGTATACTTCCTTTCCCTTTCCAGCTGAGAATTAGGAACACACTGCCTTATCTTAGAATGTATTTAAAATGCATCCTATAGTACTCTATAGCCTCCTATACTATAGAAAGCAGAAGCCTTTAACAATGGTAGCATTGCGTCCTCCTATCTAACGCCTTAGCTAAAGCAGAGGCCCGCTGCATCTATAAACATAAAAGCACACTAAGCAGACTTGATATCATTAGCAAGTTTTGAACCCAAATACAAGCACACTAACATAGTATAACTGTATAAGCAGTCCTGTCCTCAACTGCTCAGTAGAAATAGCATTGCAATTGCTGTAACAGGCCACAGACCTTTCACTGCCTATGCCTTCTACTAGCCATGCAAGGCCCTCAGTCTGGCCCATTAGCCTTATTAACTTAGGAGAATTTGCTATGGGAACTGGAGATTGATACCAGGCACCTCTTGTTGGGAGATAAAATTTATGCATGGGATAATAGCAAAGGCCTTAAAACACTGACATAGGTTGAAAGCTAAGGCCTCAGAACTATACACAGCTCACTGATGGCACTTACTAACTGTTGAAAAAGTACAACCTCAAGAGCTGGGAAAAGACTGCTTTAGCTTCAAGAAAAGAAGCAGCAGCACAGCAAGAAGAAAAACAAATAACATGAAAATCTGAGCCATGCAACATGATAAAGCACCTGACATAGCTTGGGAAAGTAACCCCACGTTCCCAAACATTACGCAGCACACAGTCCAGGGCAGAGACCAGGGCTGGGAACCATCTAGAAACTCAAATATTTTATTTAAGGACAAGATTCCCAAATTAGGGAGGGCAAGGGAGAGAAAAAAAGACACCCACCGCAATTCCAGCTTCCCTTGTCAAAGAGCTCTTCAGCCTGGCAACCCTGATGACTAAGACTACCAAGGACCATTGGAGCCAATTATGCAGTTTAGTATACACACAGATAACGCAGGGGTAAGGTCAAGGACTGACTGCTTTGAATATATAGTGATAAAAGTTCATAACATGTAAGAATTATTAGTAGGAAGTGTGCTGGCTTTGAATATCAATCTAAAAGTTTTGTTTAAAGGATTAAAACTGGCCTGATTTATCAGTCTTCTGAATCCCCCCCATCACTGCAAGCTCTGACTGCTGTGTATATACACATTCAGTTGCAAAAGCCCTTACAGCTATTATGCAAATAAAGATAGGAGATATATGAACAGATGGACCTGATCTCAAGACAATACCAATATATGAAAAGATAAAACTCTCAGGTAATATGTCACTATTTCAAGAGCAAACAAAAAAGATGGAAGAAAAGCAAGTTGCACCATATTTATGAACTGTCACTGTGTTAAAACATAAGGTACCCCCTTCTCGACCTTGATTGGAGGGCTGAGTAGGATCCAGCAGAGCCAAACAGGCAAAGAGAACTTAAAATCATAATTTAGGAGCAGGACAGGGAAGAGTTAACAAAATGTATATCCAAACCTCATTTATTATTTTGAAAGTTAAATAAAATACACCTTTGAATAGCATATCAAAGGACAAGAGTCATTCCACTTGACAAGCTTCTGCTTAACATCAGACAGCAAAACCCTGAAAAGTAGACCTTTTACAAGAGACACTACTAAGCAAGAAGTTCCTTAGCTGAAGATAAGAACACAAAAATATTTGAAAAGGTACCATAAACATTAGTGAAACAGCCTGAAACTGCAGGCTGTTTTAAGAAGTTACTGGCCTTGTTGAGCTCTCTCCTAATTTTCTCCGGACCAAACTGATCAAGGAAACGTCTGAAGTGAAACGCATCTATAGCAACGATTTCCGTGTAGCGTCGCTGCCATTCATCCCTAAAATTGGAGGGAGGAGAAAAGTAGATGGCATTAGTTGTTTAATATTGGCCATGTAATTATGATCCAAAATGAGCAATTGCCTGCAGAGCTTCTCTGTTAGAAGCAGCTAGAAATGTGAGCTCGTAACAGACAACAGAGCGCTTTTTTTTTTTTGTGGGTCAGGAATGACAACAGCATCAGAAATGAGACAGATCTCCCTATAAATTTAGAAATACTCTGGCTAGACTTTGGGCACAAACACAAAACAAATCTAATTACACAGCACTATTTATTAAGAAAGAACACCGCAAGGTCAAAGAAAAGCACTTTGGCGCTCTGTCTTCCTCCAACATTTAAATGAGAGTACATTGTGTATGTTTCTATACCAAATTATTAATTTTGTGTATACACTACAATAACATTGTTGGAGAAATAAATTCAAGAGCTCAGACCTTTCTACTCAGATTCATATTATTAAATCTTATTTTGCCACACAGCAGCTGCACTGTGGCACCTGAGGTATCATTGTCAAACTTCTTGTGACATTGCAATCCACAGTTCAGTCAGTACCCTAACAAAAATGTTGGATTAAATACATATAACTGTAAAAGATGTTGGTTTAAGAACTGACATATTGGCAGGTACCATTTATTAGCATTAATATCTCAATATGAGAGAACTTTCTTAGCTTGTTGGGTATACTGAAGAGAGCAGGATCAGTCAAATTCTCTATTAAGGCAAATGCTAGGAAATAAAGTACCAAGTTTGCAAATTTATGACATTTATTTATTCCTTCATTTGAAAAATTTACGTGGAACTTTACCTTGGGGTCTGATCTTCATGGCTTCTTGCCCACCGGTAAGTTTCTGCATAGCCTGTATACTCACTGTACTGCTCAGTACCTGAAACAAATTATTTTCTGTATTACATACAAAATACGCACGTGTTTTTTTCACTTGTCAAATCTTTCATAGGAATCACTGCTTCTCCAAATGAACATGGAGCTCTCAGAAGCAATGGAAAATAGAGATTCATATCTGCACCAAGAATACAAGATCTTCTGGTAACCATCAGAATCTTCTTTTCCACTGATGATGTGTGGCACCCAGCACAAAACAAGTGCAGATCTATTTATGATGTCCAGTACATAACAAGATGATAGCTTTCAATTTTGCCACTCTCAAGTTCAATAGCTTCTCAATAAACTGCCTGTCATCTTTCAAGTTTTACTGGCTAATATCTGGTTAACAAAGACTGCAAGCCTTCACACCACCAGCATTTTGCTTTTATTTTTTCTGGTTACTACCTGTAAACATGACGATAAAGTAGTCGTTCCACTACTGAAAACAGGGCAACCCTACTGCATCACAATTTAGCAGATGTCTGGGCCGACAGTTTAGGGAATATAAAAAGAAAAATACAAAGAGATTAAAAGCATATGTGGTGAGCTGTATGTTTATACATTTTATTTCTTTAAGAAGTCTTATTTCTCTAACAAAATTAAAATACATAAAGCCAAAGAAAACCCCAATGGTCAGAAACAAAGCAGATTTCCAACACGTCAGTGTGACCCAGCTTGTTGCTCTACAGTCTCTTGAGGGCAACCTTACGTAAGGACAGGTAGGACTGTAAAGCTTCCTAATCTCATTGCCCAATAAATCACCGCTTTCCCTTGTTACTGTTCCGTTTTACATTTGCTCAGCGCGATTCCTGCCCTATGGTTCCTGACACAAATTCTCAGATATCACAGCAATTAATGGCACTGAATGGACCAAAAGGCCACCGCTCTCAGCTGCGGTGGTCAGTACCAAGAAGCTACTTCTGTAAAAGCTCAAGGACCCACAAACCATGGACTGGAGCATACTTGGCTGCTCTGTGAGAAGTCCAGCAAGGTATCTTGGCAAGCATGAAGGGTTATAAGAAAGTAGCTCATTAAGACCTCCAGTAATTTTAGCTATTATGCTCTACTGTGCGAACTCCTTTTCAAAACTTTACCTCAAGGCCAAGAAGGAGAGCATTTTAACTGAGAGTAAGGATCACCACCTTTCTAAAAGGCTGCCTTTCACCTCATTCCACTGAACTTCAGGACCTCACTTCAAAATCTGAGGATGCACAAATGCTTCAAAGAAATGCTCCTAAAGTAATGCCACAGCAAGATCACAACTTTCACCTCTTGTGAGCTCACAACAGCCAAGTCTTGAAAGTAGGCGACTGAAAAGAATACCTTGTTTGGAAAACAGCTTGTACAGGTACAGTTTGGCACAAATTATAAACAGGAAGAGTAAGAAGAGAACTGTTAAGCAACCCCTTAATTACAGTGACACCAGCTATGCCTATAACAGAAAAATAGGTTTTAGAAAGACCTATAAGCTGACAGCACAAACCATGCGATTACTAAGACAAGAGTAATGCCTAACTATTGCACAGATCGGCGACACTCTGAGAATACAAACGTTTAAATTTCATTTCAAAGTTTTTCAATCTCTAAATGAAAAAAAAAAAAAAAGTTGAACAATCAGAAACATAAAACTATTCAATTTTAACCTCATCTGACAAGGGAATTTGAATGCTTGCTTTCAGTAGTCTTATGCAGATGAAACATGAGCTGTTAAAAAACTGTCTAAAATTATGCATATACTTCAAGACATTTTCCCCATTTACCCAAATTTAATTTAACTGAAAAGACTTATCAGCGCTTCTTTAACTCATCTGCCCTATTATCCACTCATTTATTTGGATTTGTCTAGGTGATGAACTGTACTGAGAGCACACAAATTCCACCCAAGGCTATTTTGAACAGTTGCTGTGCAAAATGAGTGGGACAGTAAGATCCCTCACCAAGAATTCGCTTCCTGTTACAAAATCAAAGTCCTCAAAATTGTGATGGCAGAGTATGTCTGTATATTCACACACACCCATGCCCTCGTACAAAGGACAACCGTGAACGGCTTAAGTATTCAGAAGTCAGCCTTCTAATCGAAGTGTAGGCTGTCAACCTTCAGTAAAGCTTTTCCTGATGCAGGTAAAATTTAGATTTACTGATATGCTTGGGAAAACTGTCTGAGCACATAATAAGAAAGGACAGACAAGGGAAATATGTGACTTTTCTGACAGCTCTCTTTAGGGGACAACATAGCAAAACTTCCAACTCTGAAAAGGAAGCATTTCCTTTGGTGTCTAGCATGTGGAAAGAAAAGACTGGGTTATCAAGATACTGTAACAGGATACATCAAATGACAATCAGAGTATTAAGCTGACTTTTTCAAGGTTCGTTTTTTTCCTTAATTTTTATGGGAGCACAGTGTCTGATGACGAAAGCACCAGGAAACAAATGAACAAGCAAATGCATATAAAAAAAAAAAAAAAATCAATAACAGAGAAACTCGAAGAAATAACACGAACTCTAAACTCATGTCCCAGAAACCCAAAGTTAATGAAAATCAATGAGTTTTCATAAGTGAAGCTCTGGAAATGTGTCAGACCAAAATGGTTATTCAACTGGCAGCACTTTTGCCTGTGAACAACTGGGATACAAACTGCTGTTGCTGGGAGAACAGAAGCAGCACAGGATAAATTGGATATGCTAATGTTTCTGGTGAATCTTTTTTCTTCCCATAAAAAAAATAATAAAGGGGTGAAATGCCAAGCCGCAAATAACAGCGTAATAGCACAGTTCCATCAGAACACTAAAAACAAGCTACAAAATAAACTAAAAAAGCCTAAAGTCAAAAGAAAACGTATACAAGTATCATTCAAAAATACATTCTTTGTGAAACTTGTAATAGTTACAGCATCAGACAAACAGTGAAATTGCCAAGAGTTAGTGCTTAATGGGACCTCATCCATCTAGAAGAGTTGCAATTATTACTAAATATACATATACCTTTCTCAGACTCCATAGTCTAGCTTTTCATTTGCATATGATCTGTATGGCATTATAAAGTTCCCAGGGATTGGGGGGAAAAAAAAAACGCCACCATACTGTCCCTCTAGTATTTCGTATGAGCTGAAATTAGACTTCTGAAAAGGCAGTGCCACTAGCACTGAATAAAAAGGAGTACATGTGAAAAGCGCAAGGGTATAGTTTTGTAGTCACCGATATAAACGCACATTTACTGCCACAAGCGAGCGGAAGATCCTTCTCTCCCTTTCAGCCAGATCTTCTGATCCTTACCTTGTGCCACCATTAGTCTTCTGGCTCTCCAGACAGTGGCATGATCAGCCTGCTAAATCCAGCCGAAAAACAATTTTTCCCTCTGAGTAAATTTTCAGCTGAACCCATTATCTGATCTCATTTACTGCACGGGTAATGTGCTTAGAAGACTCTGAAAATGCATTGCTAAAATGTGGCCAGGACTGGCCATTGTTCAGTCTGTAAATTTAAAGGAAACATGGAACACAGCTTCATCTGCTCTTAATGCTGCCTGAGTATACGTGAACTCAAAGAGGGGACCAAAAAAAAAAAAAAAAAAAAAAAACAAAGAAAAAACCCTGAATGAAAACCACTGACACCTATTCACAGCTCTACCAGAAATGCAACTGTGGGAATCTTTGGCATTGCTGCTGACATTTCTGTAGGTAGACGTCTCTGTTGAAGAACTTTACTGTTTGTGTGACCAGTTCCATATTCATTATGGCAGTGATCTTACCCAGACACTGTGCAATCACAACAAATTTAATTTCCCTCCAATTTCTCAGACTCTTCTGCAAATTTAAGCTACACAGTTATACCCATTAGGCCGCTGAGTCAAGATGCATCGCAAAGAATGTAATTTATCAAGCGGATTGTGACACGCAGTGGAGACTTGGCTAAGAACCAAGGTGGAAGAGCTCCAGGGATGAAATGAAAATGATGGAATGGCCGTTTCCATTACAGAAGAACACCATATCACAAATACTAATTGCAAAACGCTGTAAAGTACAATGGCTCAAGAAAACTAAAATATTGCCGCAGGGAAAAAACATCCTCACCTTTATTGTTCATGCCAAATCAACCCCTTTTTGCAGGGGAATGGAAGGTCTTTGAAAACATTCACTTAGTGTTTTCCCCCAGTCAGTTATTACACAGACTGATAGCTGCGCTCTCTTTTTATCCACCCCAAAGAGCCTCACCCAGAGGACAGTACTTCAATATGTTAATCGTATTATAGTATCATATCCAAAATACACAACAGAAATCAGTGATGGCTGAGAATTTTCTGACTCATTTTTTTAAAAAGCCAATTTATCAAAAAGTTTTTACAGAAAAGGCATTAGTTTTGGCAGGGTGGAAAAAATCCCAACAGTCTTAAAAAGATTACCATGTATAAGACTGAAAACAAAAGATGCTCTGCCCAGTACAATCAATAAATCAGGACAGACTAAGATTTGCAAGATCTAAGCTCAAATTTCTACTGTGCATGCAAATGCTTTGGAATGATTTTTCCAAGAAATGTGTTCTAATACCTGTACAAATTCCTAACTGTTGAGACAGCTCAGGTAACCAAACCCAACATTTTTACCAGTGCAAACTAAAAAAATATAAAATATACTTCATCTATTACAAAGTTTGTCCAGATGATCTCTCCGATCAAATATTTTAAATTTATAGCTGTTCTTTAGAGTAAATAATATTATAGCATCATTTTATTTCTCAGTCATGAAAAATGCTCACTATGTTCCTGCGTATAGAACTGAGACACACACAGCATGACCTGCGCCTCTCCAGTTCTTAATAGTGACATTTGGTGTTTTGATGCTAACTATTTTAATCCAATGGATAATAAAACATTTCAAGTTCTATGACAGATGTGGAAACAAAAGGAAAAACACTTTCAACAAAGCACTGGACACAGTGCATCTCCTCAACAACATAGCCCCTCAACAACATACTGGAGAAGCCTTTAGTTTCTGATGTTGTAATTACAAACCCATAACTAACTTACCAGTAACACAAACACATTTGTAGCTCACAAGATCAAGATCCTTTAGAGACATTTCCTGACTTTCTACCCTTTTTAATGGATGCTGATTTTCCCCTCTTCCATTTCCTCCCCTTTCTGGTAACCAGAAGGCAGTTCCTCAGAGTTTTCAATCCCACTGCTCACATCAAATGTTACAAATTCCAGACAGGAACAAAAACCACCCGTTTTAACATAACAGAAGCATTATGGCTGAGACCATAGGCCTAAAGACACTGAGTCTTCAAATATGTTTATATAGGATAAAAAAAGGTTTGTCTGCTTGTTGTCACCTTTTTTGTTTTTGTTTCCTTCACAAAACGCCTATTGGAACAGCAGCTCTATGGTCTTAAGAGGTGGGGTGAAGAAGGAAGCTCTTTGTCAACTGCGTATTGTCTTACTTTTTTTCCTTCCTTTTCTTTTATCCCTACAGCATTTAAACATACCAAACTTCAACTTGAAATATAATTTCTATACATAAAACCAGAATAAGATATGAAACATTTTCTGCAAAGACTAACCTGTGATGATAAGACATTCATTGTGATCCAAGACTTCAGTGATGAGCCTCGATACAATCAGTTCTGGATTGATTAAAAACCGAATTTCTTCTTGTACTAGTCCTGCCCCAGTCACACCACCTCCAACAAAACGGTTTGCAAAATCAACCTAACAAAAATATATTCAGGACGATTATGAGATAAGCAAACAGCATAAAATCCTTTCATTTACCAAGGCAATAAAGTCTTGCGCAAATATCAATAATTCTGTTGAAATCTGCTGCTATCACTTAAAAATATAAGCAGTAGGACAGAGCCTGATTAACAGCATGCCTTTTCTCTTTTTTCTTTCTACTTCTCAGAAAACTTAAGACAAGTGAGATATTACACAGCAAAATAAAGTTTTGCATCTCAAATGCTCTCAAAGTTTTGTGGATTTTCTTTGAACGCACATATTTAAGGATAAAACATATTTTGGTAAATGTGAAAGATGCAAACAGCAAATTACAGTATTTTTTTCATTTTATGGGCATTGAAGAATTAAGTTGTCCTTTAATAAGCATTCTGCCCCAGCTGTCCACACTGAAGCATTTTTAGGTTAACATGGCCCCTGTACCAGTTGTTCTGTACCTAAAAGAACATCTTACAAATTCTCCTTGAAATGCACTTGAACAAGGCAAGTCACTTCAATCATTAAGGTTTCTGCTTGAAACAGAGAAGCTCTGGAATCTATTTTTTGCTGCAATAATACATATTTTGCAAATTACATTTTTATATAGACAACTGTTTTAAAAGGATTTGGTTTATTCAATAAAGTGATTACTGTTTATGCAAATTAACTGTCCATATAAATTTATAATTTTTAAAAGTCACTTCATCTTTCAAATGCTATTAGCTTCTTACTGATTTTTATTTAGATAGCTGATGAGAGCACATTTACAGGAGGGTAACAAAAGTTGCTGGAGTGACAGAAACATCTGTGTAGATTACAAACTGACTCGGGAGTTAGAGTAAAGTCTAAAGCACAGAGAGCACCAGGCACTACAACAGCAAGTGATCCTGAAGCCTATCCTGTAAATGCCAACACACTTCAGTTGTTTAAGATTTGCTTAACTTGACTATGATACAAAAAAGTAACATGAAAACTACCTAAATGTTCAGTGCATCAAGGTCCCAAATGCACTGTAACTGTGCTGAGTAGCCTCACACCTTGGGCTCCCATCCTTGCCCCTGGCACATGGCCCCCAGGCAAACACACACCCTTGTCCTAGACCTGAGACACATCATGTATGGGCCCATGGCCAGGCCTGTCCTCGGCTGATGCCCACTTGCTGACCAGACATCGAGGACTGACCTTGGTGACCTGACTCACCACCTTGCCTTTGTCTGATAACCACCAGCCTGTCAGCAGAAACTGTTATTGTCACCATCCCTGCTCTGCTTGTCCCAGCCAGTGACCCTGCCTGCTGAGGCTGGGGTCACTATGGACTCCTGCCTTGTCTTGCCTTGGTTATCCTGCTCCCTCCTGGAATGAGCACTCATCATCCAAGCAGAGATATTTTGTTTGATAAGACTTGAAGTAGCCAGGAGGAAAAATATCACAACCTAGGCAACACTCACTTTTACAGGGCACAACAGAAACAGTACATGAAAAAGCATCATTCAACCCTCTCTCACCTCTGAGGTTACAGTACAGTTGAATAGAGAGATCGCAGAGAAATAGTTATTATTGAGCAGTTGCTGAGGTCTTAATTTTAATACACATCTGAGTGTTTAAGTTTCATAAAGTCAAGAGACATTTTTTAAGTTTGAGCAAAAAGCATCACAGAAAGAAGTTCTCCTATTCTCCCTCCTCCTCTTCCTTTGCAGCACTTGTTCCTGACTAAAGTAGTTGTAATTTTTTTTTGATAAACGAACAAGAATGCAGACTTTTTTTTTTAAAGACAAAACCCAAACAACTAATTTGAAAACTCAAATGTGTTTCTTGCTATAGATATGGAAAGGACATCCTCCTTATGAATTTCTTTTGCTGAGCGGCTCCCAGACTGAAACAGTGGTGCTGACAACAGCAAGAAAGTGTCCTGAACCACTGACCTGGTCACTGTCTGGGGCACTAGAATAATTTTTTTAAAATAAACTGAAACCCTTGACAACTCATCGAGATCACAGCCTGAAGCTTTTATCTTGTCAATCTTTAATCCTGGTTTGAACCAAAAGACCTGAAGCTGTCCAGGGCTTGTGATTTTCTGTCAGTTCTTTCTGTACCAGGTACATGTCCAGACCTAGATGAGCTGGGAACATTGACAGTACTAAGACTGCCCATGGAATTAATTTTGATGTTTCTTTTGCACTGCATAACATCTTGTCATTTAAGTCAATTGAGGATAAACAAATAACTTTATTAGGCTGGCAGATCATAAAAGTATGACAAAGACATGACCTAAAGCCACATATACTCTTATATGCGCTTACCTGTAGCATACCTTGTCCATTGCTTTCGATGGTGCCTTCATAGGTGACATGCAATCTAGACAGTTTCTTCTGAGATCTATCATTGAGGAAAAATATCGTACAGAAAGGATGATTACGGAATCTCCACACAAAGACATCCATTTAAAAAGAAAACTCATCCAAACCCAAACTTCTTGCACACCTTAACATAAGGTGGTTGAAAAAAACCAAAAACCAAAACAGATGGATTAAAGAAAATGCATTTGCCTTTCAGAAACAATTTGCAAAGGTTTAACATAGTTAATGTAATTGTTCCGTTTCTCCACCTCTTTCATCGTAAACCCCCAAACTTGAAATTGAAGTTCTACATTTTTGACACGGGTTTGTCCCACAGTAACTTGCTAACCAGCAAGAAAGCTGTAACACTTGTGTTTTCATGCTGGTTATCACTCATGCTTCATTATGTTTCCTGTCATTTCTGAAATCAAGTCATCTCTCTCTTTTTCCCCACTCAAGCAACAGCACCAAAGATGTGCTACTGTTAAAAATTCACTTAAGACTTGTTGGCTTCACAGGCAAACAAGCATACTAGAAGACTCAGAGCACTCAAACTGCTCGTGGCAGTTCACCCACTTCCCTCTGTACTTCTCTCCATAACAATCCATACCAAACACTGTTTTCTGTAGTACTTCCAGGCTTGAATCAATTCCATATGAATGGGGCTGAGTTATTGATTCAAGAAATTTCTTACATTAATAGGATGTTTGACTTACCTTTCCCAGTCTGGAAACTCCTGGAGACACTGCCTTGTAAACGTCACCAATCCCGTAGGTTCTAGAGGCAAACCAATCCCAGAGGAAAATGCATTAACTGCTGGAGCTTTAGTCCTTAGATTATTTTAAGTGGTAATCTCTTAAAATTACAGCAAACATCATTCTTGGCAGAAACACAAGAGCTTAACTTTCCTCAAGAGCAGCTTTGAATCTTCCCCTGACAGCCCATGCTCAAATTGAAAACAATTAACATGAAAATATTCACTTCTCTCCCTTTGGAGTTTGGGTATTTTTCTTTTTCCAGATCAAGGAAAAACTACTACTTAAGCGATTTTCACTTAAACTGTAAACACTACTAGAAAGACTCAAGAGTTGAAGTAAAATGTGATGCTACTTAGAAAGAAACTGTGACTCCTTAGAGAGGACTACTTTTCAGTGACAACAGGCAATGCACAGAGTACTCAACCTATGGATGGATGAAGCAGCAGCTTGTATTTCCAAGGAAGTCCTACTGTGTCAATAAAGATGCAGTGTTAGTGGATTCCAAATCAAGCTGCTTTCAGCCCTGCCAGGGTGCTAGTGAAATACAGGGAAATTGTATTTCAACTGCAAAAGATACTCTTGCCCTGAAGAGAAAAAGAGGAGCCATTGCTCATTGCAGGAAGGATGCACTATCATTTTTTTCCTCCTTATTTTACTCAAAAAAGTTCAGTTTTGCAACAGAAAGAAAACATCAACCTTTTATTAGGTGATGTCACCCTAATAAAAACTTCATTTTGAGACTCAGTTCTTTGCTGCAGTAAGTCTACTGCACTGGCTTGTGAAAAACACTCAAAACTGTATGTAAAGCACAAACATATGCCTCCAAAAACTTTAAACAATCCTATTCTTTTCTTCAAAATTATACAGATATAGGGAAAAGGGTTGCTTGCTCTAAAAAAAAAAAGTGCACAGCTTTCAGTAATCAAGTGCTTTTCCACAAGGGAACTCTGGTATTAGCGACAATATTTTACAAATTAAGCATTCACCTTTTGAGCACAAAGTCTTCAGCTGATATAGTCTCCACTGTGTTCTTTTACAAGGAATTCAATTACCATTTACAATAACAAGAATTGCAAAATTATTACAGTAATTTATAGGGCTAAGTTACTTCAGTCCTACTAATTTTTCTTGGACAAAAAAGAACAAAAAATGGGGTCTTTTAAAGGTATGATAGAAATTTTAATTCAAGGAAAGAGCACTCAAGAATCTCACTGAATGTTATTTAAAGTTAGAATGTTAAGAAATCTAATACAGTAGTTTCATAACTCATGTTCCCAACAGATTTCATATGCACAGGGGGTCAGGGACAGCTGCATAAATTTAGGATTTGGTTTGCATGAAAACATTATTACTCAAGTATATAAAAAAAGCTACAGACTGTATCTCTTCTCAGTCCCAGACATAGATCACAATTTACTTTTTAACCTCAGAGATTTATTTCTATTGACATTGCTGAAAGTTTGATAGCTGAAACAGGATGTAGCTGCATTTAATTTGTGGTGAACTAAAATGATGAACTGAAGATGGACTGAACCAACTTAAGGGATTTTCATGTTTAATAGCTTAAAGCTGTCTGTCTTTTAAAACAAACCCTTCTGAGAGAATATGAAGCTAATAGCAAAATACTGACACGTAAAGAAAAAGTTCTTTAAAAAAATACTGTAATAAGGACGTTGCTGCAGATGTGATGTATGCTACTGCAGCAAAATATCGTTTTCAACCAAAATATAAACTCTGATACGGTTCTTACAAAAATAAATCTGTTTTTGAAAGCTTATGCAGATGTTCAAATCCATGGTAACAATAGAAGATCTGACTATGTACATCAAGGAAAATATTGCATTAACTTCTAAAAGAGTTGGGGATCTCATGTCTGGCTATCACTTGTTTTGTTTGAACTGGGCAAACTTCACAACAGTTTTGCTTTGGGAGAATAGAAGGGAAAACCCCAAAATATCAACACAAGTAGAGGAAAAATACCTCAGAACTACACATTATAGTCAAAGGACTAAATGGGCATACTGCAGGAAATCTGAAGCTTGATTCAGAATCTTTAAGCCTGGGATTTTAATGACTACATATGGTGCTAAGTTCCCTCCACGTTCTCACTCTAATAGAGTGCAGCAAGTAGTTGCATACATTACAAACATCATACATATGTACATTTATGTAGACACATATACATATTTATATACACACTATATATATATATAAAGGGGGTGAAAAAATATGTATATACATTTTAAACATGCCCCATATATATATATATCTCTCTCAAAAAAGAAAACAGAATAAGCTCCATGCAAAAAATTTAATTGCATGCATCATCTATATGAGAAGTGACATGAATATGAATATCAGCATACTTAGCAAGCTGGCTTTTGTTACACACTTCCATCATAATGCTGCATAGCCATTTCTAAATTTAATGGGATTAAATTTTTCATTTATCTGCTTTGTAGCTTATAAAAAAAAATAATAAAGGATATACTTTTTTCTGTGACTCTCCTAAAATAGCAGAAAAGGGTCTTAAGTTTCTCGGGCTTCCTTGGTGACCGTCCTTCAAACAATCTGAAAAACAAGAAATAAAAGCAATTAATTACTATGCGCTATATCCCCGAAATCTAATTAGGCTATTACTAATTGTGATTTGATTTTTTAACTATTATTCACATATTTTGGTTAGCCTTGCATTTAAATACTCTGCTGTAGAAAGAACTCTCTAGGCAGCCTCTCTGTAACATGGGTCTTTAGGAGTAACAAGTTCATTCACTTGCTAAGTTTCTGATGAAGATGCTAAGTGAATGCCTATCTCACTCACATTGATTTTGTAATATCAAACCCCCTAATTTCAACACAAACATCCAGGAAGGCTACTAGTTTTATCTGCAACAGACTGGCTTGGATTAAAGTGACCAAGGGGTGAAAACATGTATAGAGTACTCCAAGATCCAAATGTCTTGCCCTACTTTCAGCTCAGTGAGTTGCAGAGAAGAATTAATGCAGCCATATTGCTTTCAAGAGCTGTGCTGCACCAGCAGCGTTTCTAAAGAAAAGAACCTACCCCCAACAGAAATGGCTTCATCCACTGGGCTACTACTGGCATTCCAATAATAATTTGTAAAATCCTAAGCATTAAAAAGAAACATCCTATTTTTAGCCATTAAGTGAATGTATTCTTTTAAGGATGGCTGAAATACTTTTACTGCATCATCCATCTTCCAGCAACTTGAACACACATTACTTAATTTCACTTCCAACAAAGTGACAAGGCATTGTTATTGGCAACACATAATGGAATTTGTCTGGAAGGAAGAATAGCGGCGACTTCAGAAATAATATCCTTTGAGTAGGAAGTTCACTAAAAGATGTCTGATACAGTGAAAGCCCCGAGGATGTAAGATTCCCCCTCCCTCCACCCCCCCAATAAACAGTCTAAGTAAAGGAATGACACAACATTATTCATTTGTTTCCATGCACTGGAATGACAACCTGCTTTTAAAACCAGAATGCTGTCAGGTGAATTTAGCTTTTAGTAGTGAAATGAACTAGATTTTTTCAGTATTTAAAAATTCTTATGAAGTACACATCAATTTCATCCAGAATCTATATTGAGCTACAGAAGCTAATTTTAAAAAGGTTAAAAAGGCTTTATGAAAACTTTTTTTATTCTTTGAATAATCAATCAAGACTTTAAGAAGGCAAACTCCAGACATATTCAGTCTATTTTAAAACGGACAAATATGCAAGTTCTATCAAGGGGTTGTGCTTGTACAACTACTATGGCATTCATTAAAAAAAGAGCTGATGTGTGTGTAGGTCTTGCCTAAATGCATAAATTATCTCTGACCTTTTATCTGGAAGTCTCATTTGGTATGAATCCTTTAAACTGGTTAATGTATCTATTAGCCCAATCATGCCTTTACTAGTTTTTTGCCTCTTTACATCAAATTGAAATCTTGCTTATGTTGCAAACTCTCCGGAGAGAGTTCTTGATGTCATAAAAGGGATGCATGATTCAGCATAACTATCAGACTGCGCAGGAGAAGTCCAGAAGTGGAAAAACGATGCCTGAAATAAGTTAGATGAAGCTAAAAGGCAACAGCAAGGCAAATGAACTTTGTTTCATGCATTACAATTACTCACCAAAATGCCATCACTCTGTCAGGTAGGGAATTTCAACCAAATATTTTTTTTAAACCTGAAGTGTTCAGCATTGGTCTGTCTTTTCTGTTGTTAAAAGCTGCAATAACTACCTCTCTTCTTTCTCCTCTGGGATCTAAGCTAGAGTAATGCTGATTTGCTTCTGAAAAATCTCATTTACAGCAGATAAATAGTCCCAAAACACCATCTATAATTACAACAATGAGAAGCAATATTTGTATTTCTGTTCAAGCCAGGTAAAATGGCCAGGTAAAAACCACAGGGCAGCACAAAAGAATCTGAAAAACTCTGTGTTCTGGCAAAGGCATCCCGTGCTGTAGAGGCATACTCCATACAGTGGGGATAGAAGAATTCTGTGGCATTCAAAATTATTTGTATTTTGACCTAGTAGCTATATGCCTCCAGTTTACACGCATCAGATCTTTTATAGCAGTTACCCCAACAGCTCTCATCACCCTTCTCCTCCACACAGTATTTGCTTTGCTATGATAGAACATAAATTGTACTTTCACTTGAAGATCCACTGTTAAATATAAAAAAAAAAAATTAAAAAAAATTACTTATTTATTAAAAACAAAAGCAGGCAACACCAGTCCTGCACAATGTTTAGGACTGAATCTACTACAAGTGATGTTTGTCCAAAACAGAACACACCGATAAAAGGACAGCCGTTTATGGCAGGTTGAAGAGACCACGTCTTAGATTAATATGCTTGGATTTACTTCGTATTTTCTATGTCTAGAATTTACCTTTATGAGTGAGCTACTGGCAAACTAAAGATGGGTATCTGCAAACACTCTTTTTGTTATATATATGTTTGCAAAATACAAACTCCAAGTATATTACTCGCATATTTTCACATAACCAGACCAAGGAACTCGTCTTCAGCTGTTTCAAGTAACAGTGCTTTACAACGTTAGGAATTTGTTTTAAAGGCCAATAAGACCAGTGGAAAAATCCCCACAGACTTTAATGGGTTATAAATTAGCCTCAAACCCTCATAATATCTAATTATTTAAAGTTACTGATATTCATTCAGTTGAATTTGGCTGCTTCACATGATCTTTTAAATTTCCACAGGAATTATATCACAACGACATCAATGATTCAGAAGACTTCCAGCAAGCTATACTACAGTCAGAAGAAGAAAAAAAAGCACAAGAGAAAAACCAACAGCCCACCCCCCCAACAGACACAGGCAGCCAAGCTTTCTTAAGCGCAGCACAAAGTAATCAGTCATCTTTGTGAACGGAACAGTAAAAGCAAGTGCTATTTACAACAATCAAAAACGGCCCAGTCCTGCCCCGTTAATTTAAGTGAGGATATAATACTGCAAAGTTATGAATGGTTTAACCTTAAACCTCACTTCTGAAATGATCAATTAGGCAACATAACAAGACTTTTTATTTCTGAAGCAAATATCTCTATTTTGAAGAACAAAGCCAGACGAGGGCATCAGTAAGATATTAAATAAAATAATTCTTCAAGCTCTAGGACACAGATCCTACTAAAAAAAAAAAAATCCACTCCAAAATATAAGTGGAAACCACATAATCAATTTCCTGACAGAAGAACCCAAGGCCAAAACCCATTAATTCCAATTAAAGAACTCATCCAAATGAAGTGCACTGTAAATCAAATGCAAGGTACTGCAAAAGCCCACTTTCAGTCAAAGTAATTGAAGTATTACTGGCAACTGCATATGTAAGCTGTTTTGCTTTGTACAAGACGTTCCCACTGCCATGCAGCTAACTTCAATTTAGCAGATACAGGAGCAAAGAAAGCTTGCAGGGCTGAACACCAAACACAGCTGCAAAGCTTCCGAGCCAGGGTAGCAGCAATGTTAATGTAAGTAAGAAAGCTCTACAGAGATACACTTAAGTACTCGAGGAATCAAGGTCAGAGATTTAAAAACATAAGCAAGCAAATATGTGAGCAATGTCATAAACACAAAGTAGACTGTTAAAGTCATTGCGGCTAAATGAAAACTCTTTCCTAGCAAATATTCAGATGCTAGATTCAATTATTCTGAACAGAAATACTATATATGAGAAATAAAATATTAAAAATAATAAGAACTGATATTGGGAAAATGTAAAAAAATTTTAAAAAAATTACCCAACAACTATCAGTAAACGCACAGTAATGTTACAAGGCACTAGTTCATACAATTTCAATAATTATTACAAAAACGTGTGCATTTGTTTTGTATCAGCATTTCCCTAAAATTTTAAAGATGGAAAAAAAGCAATTTAAAAGTGTAATCAATATTCTGTTTTTTGCAGTCACATTGACTGCTAACTCAAAATTGTTGCATTTTCAACCAACATTTCCACCTCAGAAAGCTGGAGCCAAAAGCTCTCGAGAACCTGCTCCCAAGTCCTTCAACTGCTGAGGCAAGCAGTGAATCTGTGAGGTTCTTCAAAGGATGTATTTCGAATGATGCAACATCAACATGATTTAATAACGTTAAGAGCTACACAAGAGTAACCTTGGCATGCCTATAGTTTACTGGGGAAAAGTTGAACCAGCTTAAGTAAACAGTTCTGAAATACATTGTTCCCGATTAAGTTTTAATTAAAATACAGTAGTTTAGTTGTAAAATTTAATTTCCAAGGAGCTAAATTGATCCCTTGATGTTACTTAAAGAACTGGCTCCAGTAATGTTTACAAGCAGAAGGAACCATTACAATCATGTGGTTTAACCGCTCAGTTAAATAATTTCATATCTGTATTTCCACCCCCAGCCTCTATCTTCCCAGCCCCAAGCTGGGCTTCCTTTGAATGTTTCTTTTCAAAGAGTATAATCACACCTTTATATTGAAATCAGAACCTATCATAAGAGTCAGAAAGCCATCCATGCTGTAAAAATATGCAAAAATTTGCAGTATGGTTCATACTTCAAAGAACACTTCCCATTCATTAATCCCTGGCATTTCATGTATGCCATCTGCAAAAGTGTGGATACACAATTTTATCTTTATGGTCCCCACAATTAACTATGTGTGCTTTTCGTAACTACCACAGGCACTAGAAAGTGCCTTTTTCTTTACTACTGCAGTTGAAGACACACTTGTATTGTTTCTTGTATTTTATTGTGATCTCACTAAAGATAACACAGCATCTAAGCAAGTGCAAGAGATTTTATTAAACCCTCGTTTTTCTCCTACAAATAAAAGCAGACAAAGGATTTACAAGGAAGTAGTACAGATAGATTAATTTCACCCAGTAAAGGGACTGAGCAGGGGCAAGAATGGAAAGTTAAGGCAGAAATTGAAATAATGAATTGACATTACCTTCAATCTCAAGAACAGAGCTAATCACAGAGCAGAGCTTTAGTCTAACGTACAGAATGACAAAACGTTTAGAAAAAAGAATAAAACAAGCCCCTTGCTCTTTGTATCTTG